TCAGGTACCTGGCTTTGGTTGCAGTGGATTGCAGGTACCAAGTTTGGGTTGTAGTGGATTGCAGGTACCTAGCTTGAGTTGTAGTAGATTGTAGGTACCTTGCTTGAGTTGTAGTAGATTGGAGGTACCTAGCTTGACTTGTAGTAGATTTCAGGTACCTTGCTTGGGTTGTAGTAGATTGAAGGTACCAAGTTTGGGTTGTAGTGGATTGCAGGTACCTAGCTTGAGTTGTAGTAGATTGGAGGTACCTAACTTCAGTTGAAGTAGATTGGAGGTACCGAACTTCAGTTGTAGTGGATTGCAGGTACCTAGCTTGACTTGTAGTAGATTTCAGGTACCTGGCTTGGGTTGTAGTGGATTGGAGGTACCTAGCTTGAGCTGCAGTTGAGTACAGGTACCTAGTTTGAGTTTTAATAGATTGCAGGTACATAGCTTGAGTTGTAGTGGATTGCAGGTACCTAGCTTGGGTTGCAGTTGATTGCAGGTACCAAGTTTGAGTTGTAGTAGTTTGCAGGTACCTAACTTGACTTGTAGTAGATTTCAGGTACCTGGCTTCGGTTGTAGTGGATTGCAGGTACCAAGTTTGGGATGTAGTAGATTGTAGGTACCTTGCTTGACTTGTAGTAGATTGGAGGTACCTGGCTTGGGTTGTAGTGGATTGCAGGTACCAAGTTTGGGTTGTAGTGGATTGCAGGTACCTAGCTTGAGTTGTAGTAGACTGGAGGCACCTAGCTTGAGTTGTAGTAGACTGGAGGCACCTAGCTTGAGTTGTAGTAGATTGGAGGTACCTAACTTCAGTTGTAGAGGATTGGAGGTACCTAGCTGGCGGTGTAATATATTGGAGGTACCTAGTTTGAGCTGTAGTAGATTGGAGGTACCTAGCTGATGGTGTAATATATTGAAGGTACCTAGCTTCAGTTGTAGTAGATTGGAGGTACCTAGCTGAAGGTGTAATATATTGGAGGTACCTAGTTTGAGCTGTAGTAGATTGGAGGTACCAAGCTAGAGCTGTAATAGATTGCAGGTACCAAGCTTGAGTCAAATATATTGGAGACACCCAGCTGGAGCTGTAGTGAATTGCAGGTACCTAGCTTGAGCTGCAGTAGAGTGCACATACCTCGCTTGAGTTGTAGTAAATTGCAGGCACCTAGCATGAGCTGTAGTAAATTGGAGGTACCTGGCTTGGGTTGTAGTGGATTGCAGGTACCAAGTTTGGGTTGTAGTGGATTGCAGGTACCTAGCTTGAGTTGTAGTAGACTGGAAGCACCTAGCTTGAGTTGTAGTAGATTGGAGGTACCTAACTTCAGTTGTAGTGGATTGGAGGTACCTAGCTGGCGGTGTAATATATTGGAGGTACCTAGCTGATGGTGTAATATATTGGAGGTACCTAGCTTCAGTTGTAGTAGATTGGAGGTACCTAGCTGAAGGTGTAATATATTGGAGGTACCTAGTTTGAGCTGTAGTAGATTGGAGGTACCAAGCTAGAGCTGTAATAGATTGCAGGTACCAAGCTTGAGTCAAATATATTGGAGACACCCAGCTGGAGCTGTAGTGAATTGCAGGTACCTAGCTTGAGCTGCAGTAGAGTGCACATACCTCGCTTGAGTTGTAATAAATTGCAGGTATCTAGCATGAGCTGTAGTAAATTGCAGATATCTAGCTTGAGCTGTAGTAGGTTAGAGTAAAATTGCTTCAGTTGTAGTAAAGTTGCAGGTACCTTGTTTCTTATCGGTATGCATCAGTCTGTCAGTTCGCATGACAATATTGCTTTTTGTCTTCTTGACTGGCTTCATTGGTTCATATTCACTTGGCAGCATGTATTTCTGTATTGGTATACATCAGCTGGCCAGTACGTAAGGTTATATTGGTTATATTGCAACTCACTCTTTTGCAACACGGCATCTTCAACACTTTCTAAATTGCAGAAAATTCAAAACGCAGCAGCTCGTGTGGTCTCTCGAACCCATCGCCATGACCATATATCGCCAGTTCTGAAATCCCCTCACTGGCTTCCAGTAAAGTACAGGATCTACTTCAAGATTCTGCTACTGACTCATAACTGCCTCTACGATGACCAGTCCTGTGACTACCTTCGCCAGCTTGTACATCTGCATGTACCCACCAGAGCTCTTACATCAATAGATACGTTAAGACTAACACAGCCCAGCACTAAAACATCCATGGTTGATAGAGCCTTTTCTGTAGCAGCACCAGCTCTATGGAACAATCTTCCAGTCACCCTCAGACGAACTGAGTCACATTCACAATTCAAGAACTTGCTCAAAACCTACTTCTTCAAGATGGCTTCTGAATAGAACTCTTTTCACACTTATTGTGTTTTTAACGATGTATGCAGCGCCGTTGAGCATCTATGATGGAAACTAGGCGCTATACAAGCCAATTATTGTTATTATTATTATTATGTACGTTTTTAACGGTACGTGCACGTGTGTCTCGTCCTGATAGTACATGTCGGTATGGTACACCTTGGCACTACGTATGTTGGTATACATCTTTCAGACTTTACATGCCTCCGTGTAGTGCCAAAATCTATGTGATCAGTTCATGGCTAGTGCCACTAACAGCACCTACACACAGTTCGTAGTGCATCTAAATGTAAATGTTTTCCTTCTTCTGTGTGTGTAATTATTCAAAATATAATGGCACGACATATGACCAAAATGAATTCTTACGATTTTCTTGACAATCTATGTAAGAAACAGTTTGAAATTTAGTACTGGACTTTAGCAGATATATCTTATGTATATAGAAAGAGTTTCATTCATCGCTTTCATTTATTTGTACCAAGTTAGTTTGTTTGGATGTTCAGCATAAAGTCACATACGTAACTCCTCCTTTGAAAAGTATTTAATTCATTTCATCATGAAAATGTTCAGCTGACTTTCTTTTGAACCCGCCTCTTTGCAGTCTCTTCATGTGGAAAGGGAATTGCAAAACGTTTTCAGATTGATAACCTCTCCTGGTAAAACCCAACTTTACAGCAATAACATCTTGCACAATGCCTCGTGAATAACTTGCATGTTGTAGCTAGAAGCAAGATCATCTGTGGCATTAATTGTCACCATTGTGAAATGATTTATGACACAACAGACTTTTAAACGAGTCAGGCAGCATAATCAGGTGTCGACAGAAATATTTCAAACGTTTATCCACTAATATTTCACTTCGAAATTCACTCCATCCTTTTAATGGAAGGTAGGCTATTCGAAGAAATATAACGTCCAACATATAACCTTAAATTCTGTTGCGCTTGTAGAAAGTCTAGAGGCAATGGTAAATACATGATGCAAACGGTTGGTCTTACCTTGGCGTTGTAACGCGAATGTAACGCGAATGCACGTAATGTTATGGATTTGGAAAAGTTTTCTGACGGTAGGTAGGTGTATATTTGTATTTAGGAACATCTTTCTGACGGTAGGTAGGTGTATATTTGTATACATCTTTCTGACGGTAGGTAGGTGTATATTCTTATACATATTTCTGACGGTAGGTAGGTGTATATTGGTATATATCTTTTGACGCAAGTAGGGTATATTGGTATATACATCTTTTGACGCATGTACGGGTATATTGGTATATATCTTTTGACGCAAGTAGGGATATATTGGTATATATCTTCAAGACAGACGATTGGGTTATGTCTGTACAATGATAATCTTTTGTGAGGGGACAAGCTTTGAGTCAAAGAGGTAATCGAAGTGGTGAAACATCAGATGTCAGATTTCGCAGGAATCGCGACTAATCTGGGATATGAACAAAGTATCAGCTGATCCTAGCACACCAAGGGCACGCAACTCTGGAGAGATTAACTAACCGTGCAAAGAGGTTGTCAGTCCTCCTCGTCATTCTTCAGCAAAGAATTTTATTAATATCTACGTGAAACAACATACTTTGCAATCAATTTCATTTGAAAGTCGACTTGAGTTTTTTTCATACAAATGGCAAGATTCATAAGCCTCTTCGTGCATTGTTTTAATATAGACTATATATAGCCCAGCGTTGGATTGTATTCAATTTTCGGTGTCACATCTCAGGCAGTTGCCTCTCGGGAATCGGCGGCGTACGCTCAGAACACAGGGTTGTCGCTAACAGCAGGGCTACGCTCGACTCCGTCAGTTAAACCTCGCAGTGTGATTTCAATCATCTTTTGTCGTAAATCGGCTCGGAATCTATTACCATAAAGCGGTTCGATATCCGGTGACCGTTCATTCCGCAAGAGAGCAACAGTTGTATGGGGCATTTTGTCGCTCTTCTTCTCGTTGCGAACCTCAGTTGCGACGGAGGGGAATCTAATGAAGGTTTCTCTGACATTCTTCTGCATTCACATTGAATATTCTTTCTTGGCTTGGCGCTGCTTAGTGATAATTCAAAACCATTTGTGGGCTTTAAAGAGATCGTGATTTCGTTTTTGTTCTCGACCCAGCATCGACTTGTGTTTCGGGGCGTTATGTAAGGAGAGTGAATGCAGTATTAAACGGTTAAGCCCACGACCTTCACGATCAATTTGAGGAGAATCTATGGAACTGCTTTTTCACATTTGCCAGGTTTGAAACTTGAACAGTCTGTATTTGAGGATTATTTTCAAAATTGAAAAGATTTCAAGAGAGGCGACTGTCAAGCACCCCTATCCGTTTTCAGTCAATATACTTCCGGTTCTTGTTGAAGTCAATTTAGTAAGGATTTCGAAAGGTCATTAAAGGGATGTAAAGATTTGTTTGTTTTTAATTGCCATGAGTCCAGTGAGATTGGAATTACCCTCAGTGGATTCCATGTTTAAATACATAACTACTAGGATCAAAGACATCAGTTGTTTTTCGTGGTTTACTTTATTGCAAGCAATTGTCATGATACATGGCCCTATGCCGTGATGAGGTAATATATTGCTGAGCAATACTTGCATGATTCATAACCACTACTCAGTGTAATGGGTTTAAAGTAAATTTATTCCAATTCGCAAGGGCAGAATGGGAACACGCTGATGTATGTAGGATCGCCTGTCTTAGCATTCATAGCACACGTCGCAGAGGAAAGGGAGATCGCGCAGATGCCAGTTTTAATAGAAGTCTATTCAAAACAGATCTGTAATGTGCCACATGCGGTCATAAAAAATCATCTTTGATTCCCTGAGGAGGTGAGAAGTTGCTGAGGAGACAAACGGTATCATCATCGTGTAACTTCAACCCCACAAGCAACAGATTGCGTAAGTCTGCAAGCTCCCTACACTGCCGGTGCTTGAGCCGTGACCTATATGAAGTCGCTCCCTCAGCCTGGCCACACATATGCTCGGGATAGAGAGAGGAGCCACGACCCATGAATGATACAACAGCATACTGCATAACACCATGACACGCTGACAGCCCGGCGTCTGATGGTTGCCATAGCAACGTATTACGAAGTAGGCTAGCTCGGATGTTGTCACTTACATCTTTCTCCTATGATTGTTACAGTTTGGTTGATGACTTTTCTGTCGGCGGCCTCAAAGAACACAGAGTGCCACTCGGGTAAGTACATCACACTGATTCTTCAGCTGTAATAATGTGTCAGTATAATAATCTGTTTATTAGAATAGTAGTCGTGTCTTAAAAGTTATTAAGACTTGTCCAGTTCTGGCATTCAGTAGGGTGCCACATGTCACATATCTCATGTGCAATACGGGTTTGTAATGGACACGTACATTGACTTTAGCCTTGTAATCAGGTGTTTTTGTTATGAAATCCATACTCAGTTAGCACCTAAAGTTATATTTTGTAACATATGTCGAGATGCAGTATTTCGTGATTTAGATTTAAGATTCTAACATGAATGAGTTAAAATACCTGAAGCTACCTTTCCATGACACTCTTATCATAAATCACTGTTTCCACAATATAAGCTAAAGTTTCAGATTATTATAACCAAACATTCTCATAAATCGAAGTTTAACGGCGACTAAAATATCAGTTTCCATTTTATAACCATTTTACGAGGAGCGATTACTGAATCTAATTTAAAGTGAATTCGCTTACTGTCAGACGCTCAGCGATTCCTCAATAGCCGATAGCACATATGCAGCCCTTTGTGTAGCGGAGTGATATCGATCCGTTTAGTAGGGTACAACTGCACGCTGTATCAGCCAGGATGACCACCGTGGTTGTCAGGTCAGTCTGTCAGGTCAGTCTGTCACTAACACCACTCAGGGCCAGAGAGTCGTTAGGTCTTCCTTCCTGACGAACATATGAGAACGCTAAAATTATCATTTTCATTTCCTGGTCTGTAACAAAACAGGAAGTCTTTAACTTCCACGTGCATGTATACATAATGTCTATGAAAACCACATACATCTTGTGTGCAAGTGTTTTTGTGCTCACGAATATCACGTGTATATGTTCCTGGTGTTCACAGAACTGATTTGTGCATGCACGTGTTCAGTGTTCCCAGAGAACGTGCCTACATGTTCGTGTTTGTAGAGTTCACATATATCATGTGTATATGCACGTGTTCAGTGTTCTCAGAGAGCATGGCTACATGCTCGTATTCGTAGAATTCACATACATCATGTGCACATGCACGTGTTCTTAGTGTTCACAGAAATCATGTGCACCTTCTCCGTGTGTTCGCGTTCACCACGTTTATATGCACATGTTCTTAGCGTTCACAAACACGTGGACGTGCACACGCGCCTTGTTCAACATGTATTCTGTGTACATGTACATACACCTCACGTACAAATACATCACTTGTACTTCCACGTGCGCCTTGTATTCACATATATCACATGAAGATGCACATGCACGAACACGTGGACGTGCACATACGCCTTACGTTCAGATGTATCATGTGTAGGTCTACGTTCGCCTTGTGTTCACATGCATCGTGTAAATATACGTGCGTCTTGTGTTCACATGTATCATGTGTAGGTCTACGTTCGCCTTGTGTTCACATGCATCTTGTAAATTTACGTGCGTCTTCATGTATCATGTGTAGGTCTACGTTCGCCTTGTGTTCACATGCATCGTGTAAATGTACGTGCGTCTTGTGTTCACATGTATCATGTGTAGGTCTACGTGCGCCATGTGTTCACATGTATCGCGTATAGATTGTACGTGCGACTTATGATCACATATGCTATGTGTACATGCACATGAGCATGTGTACACATGGGTATACGTGGTTTTCGGACGGCATATGTACATGCACCTAATATTGTGTTTACATACAAAATGTGCATACGATCCTTATGTTCACAACGTTTCACATTTATGTTAGTGTTCCTTGTGTTCAAATGCTGACTTTGATTTGTGTCCTGTAATAAAAGAGCCTTGCGTTCCCTTACAGCATTTAGTGGGATCTGGTTACATTTGCCGTGATATTCTTACAGTTTACATATATATCATAAGCATACGTTAAAAACGCGTTTTAACTGCAACCGGTCAGGGCAAATCTGTACGTTATAACTCACATATGGGAGTAGATGACGTGCTGGTCATCCGATCAGGGCAAATCTGTACCTTATAACTCCACATATGGGAGAAGATGACGTGCTGGTCCACCGGTCAGGGCAAATCTGTACCTTATAACTCACATATGGGAGTAGATGACGTGCTGGTCATCCGATCAGGGCAAATCTGTACATTATTACTCCACATATGGGAGAAGATGACGTGCTGGTCCACCGGTCAGGGCAAATCTGTACGTTATAACTCCACATATGGGAGAAGATGACGTGCTGGTCCACCGGTCAGGGCAAATCTGTACCTTATAACTTACATATGGGAGTAGATGACGTGCTTGTCATCCGATCAGGGCAAATCTGTACATTATAACTCCACATATGGGAGTAGATGACGTGCTGGTCATCCGATCAGGGCACATCTGTACGTTATAACTCCACATATGGGAGAAGATGACGTGCTGGTATACCGGTCAGGGCAAATCTGTACCTTATAACTCACATATGGGAGTAGATGACGTGCTGGTCATCCGATCAGGGCAAATCTGTACATTATAACTCCACATATGGGAGTAGATGACGTGCTGGTCATCCGATCAGGGCACATCTGTACATTATAACTCCACATATGGGAGAAGATGACGTGCTGGTCCACCGGTCAGGGCACATCTGTACGTTATAACTCCACATATGGGAGAAGATGACGTGCTGGTCCACCGGTCAGGGCACATCTGTACGTTATAACTCCACATATGGGAGAAGATGACGTGCTGGTCCACCGGTCAGGGCACATCTGTACATTATAACTCCACATATGGGAGAAGATGACGTGCTGGTCCACCGGTCAGGGCACATCTGTACGTTATAACTCCACATATGGGAGTAGATGACGTGCTGGTCCACCGGTCAGGGCACATCTGTACGTTATAACTCCACATATGGGAGAAGATGACGTGCTGGTCCACCGATCAGGGCAAATCTGTACGTTATAACTCCAGATATGGGAGGAGATGACGTGCTGGTCCACCGGTCAGGGCACATCTGTACATTATAACTCCACATATGGGAGAAGATGACGTGCTGGTCCACCGATCAGGGCAAATCTGTACGTTATAAATCCACATATGGGAGAAGATGACGTGCTGGTCCACCGGTCAGGGCACATCTGTACGTTATCACTCCAGATATGGGAGTAGATGACGTGCTGGTCCACCGGTCAGGGCACATCTGTACGTTATAACTCCACATATGGGAGAAGATAACGTGCTGGTCAACCGGTCAGGGCAAATCTGTACATTATAACTCCAGATATGGGAGAAGATGACGTGCTGGTCAACCGATCAGGGCAAATCTGTACGTTATAACTCCAGATATGGGAGAAGACGACGTGCTGGTCAACCGAACTGCCTGTCTCCTACGTTTAAAGAGACAAAGGACATTTGAATCATAATATAACACTACAAAAATCTGTTAGTTTATGATTACATAAGTTATTTTCCATAATCCATTAGTGTATGAGTATGTATAACTCCATTTTGCAATAAAAGTGATTGAATCTTTCAGGTTCAATATTAATTTGCTTCAGTAGAATAGTTAGCCCACAAGCTTGATCCCCGACATTTATAAATTATATATACCGACTGGACATAAGGTCAAGCTGAGATTAATATAAGGACATTATGGAAAGCAGGCCGATAGGATGTCTGAGTGATGATAGGAAGAGAAACCATTGCAAACGGTCAACATTACTAGATAATCTCCTTATCCTCGACAGAATATTATGTTTTAATGAAATCGATCACATGCGTCATTAATAATCTTGCTTGATGTATAATACCTACTTTTGCGTCCAGCATAAACAGAAACGAAATAACCCTATTACATTTTCGCAAGAAATCAAAAGAATCCATTGTCCGATTCCGAATTCATGCATAAGCATGTATTAGTGAATCATCATGAAATAGTGAAGCTACCATGTGTACAAGATCAGCGTATCCTGCCCCGCTGGTGGCATCCCCCACAAATACATGCAAAGGCTAGTCAAATGATCATTGTAAAAATAGGGAATTGCATCAGGCATCTTTTCGATGACTTGGTCAAATATTAAAATTTCCTCCACATGTCTACCGCAAATCGTTTTGAAACCAGTGACACATAGTGATAAACTCAGATATCGTTTGACATTTGTAAAACGACCAAATAGAATGAGGTAAGGCATCGCCCTTTACAAGCTGAGATTCATCACACTATTGTCCAACAAAGTATCATCGTCCTGTTGTCTCACAAGGTATAATATTGTCGACCAAAGTATATTCGCTTTGTTGTCTAACAAAGCAGCACAGTGACTATGCTATTGTCAAACAAATAATCATCGTTTTATTGTCTTAAAAGGTATAATCGTTTTATTGTCAAAAAAAGTATATTCGCTTTATTGTCCAACAAAGTATCATCGTCCTGTTGTCTCACAAGGTATAATATTGTCGACCAAAGTATATTCGCTTTGTTGTCTAACAAAGCAGCACAGTGACTATGCTATTGTCAAACAAATAATCATCGTTTTATTGTCTTAAAAGGTATAATCGTTTTATTGTCAAAAAAAGTATATTCGCTTTATTGTCCAACAAAGCAGCATCGTCCTGTTGTCTCACAATGTATAGTATTATCAAACAAAGTATATTCTGCTTTGCTGTCTAAGAAAGCAGCACAGTGACTATGCTATTGTCAAACAAATAATCACCGTTTTATTGTCTTACAAAGTATAATCGTTTTATTGTCAAACAAAGTATATTCGCTCTATTTTCGAACAAAGCATCAACGTATTAGTACCTTGCAAAGCATCACAGCTTTATTATCTAATAAAGTCTGTTCATTCTAATATGCAATGAAGTTTCTGCATTCTGTTGTCTGACAAAGCAGCATCACTGGCTTGTACAAGATTTACAATTCTAATTACCACACGTAGTTAAAGTTTGTATTACTGACTTATAAAGTATCACCGTTCTAGTGTCCGTTACTCTCATTCTGTTGTCAAAAGTGACATCTTCGTGTTCATATCAGATATGGCTTGCCAAT